TTCCCAACGGCCAGGTGATCGCGTTCCTATGAAACTGTTAAGTGGTATATGTTAGAACATGTTTACTAATTGTCATTCGCATTTCACTAGCCCACATTTTCATACTCAGTTGCACATTTGACTCAATCCCTTATTAAGCGATTGACATTTCCATTTTCAAAAATCAACCACAATTAAAATTAAAATCAAGTCGACAAAATTGTAATTAACCTAGCTATACAGGTCATAAACTTAACGCTGGTTTTTTTGCTCTTCAATTGAATGAATAATAATAATAAATGCTTACTGCCCAAAGCCTTCGTTTGAATAGTCTTCCATTCCCCGTTGTCGAGGAGGTATGAATATCCTCGGTGCATCGAGCCTGGGGCGGTATTCAATCCTTCCCCCAGGGGGATATATCCCCCTCCTCTGATTCAATCCTCTCAATCCTCTGGGGGGACAAAAAAGGGTTGCGTCATAGGACCTAGCATACCTCTGCGTTTCTACCCGCCAGACAGTTAGAGCAGCGCGGGCCCTCAGAGGAAAGAGTGCTTTATCAGTGGAGGGTATTCGCGCTGCTCTAACTGTCTGGCGGGTAGAAACACAGAGGAATGCTAGGTCCTATGACGCAACCCTTTTTTGTCCCCCCAGAGGATGGGGAGGATTGAATCAGAGGAGGGGGATATATCCCCCTGGGGAAGGATTGAATACCGCCCCTGGTTATGGGAGAACTTTCGCATTTGTGATAGAAGATCATTTAAGATGAGCTCTAACCCTAGCTCTAGTCTCTGGTTCAAATAACTGTTAACCTGATGTTCATTTTTATTCCTTGTAGTAGAGTGTCCCAAAAGCTCGCGCCACTTTCAAAATCTTTTTCTTGTTATTATTATCCCAATAGAAAGCAATATATACCTTCATTTTATGAACCATCTTTATCAGTGAGTTGTTGTCAGCAATTCACCAGAAAATCAATGATGTGTTTTGAAGGGACGGCGGATTCGTGCTGAAAAGGGAGTGAGGTCGTTTTGAGGTTCTTGATCGTATTTTTTGTCCGCAAAATGATTGCTTAGCAAGAGTAGATGACCTTTGGGAGAGGTTGATCGTCGATACGCGGTGGATCTGCCAGGACTTCTCATCGAAGTTTTGAGACCTAAAGTCGCTTCTTTTTCCAAACGCATAGTCTCGGTTGTCCTGGAGCGGAAATACTTTGTCGAATTTTGGACGTATTGGTTGGTGTTCCCTCATCAGCCGTAGGCGTTGATTACAGGAGACTTGACTTGTTACACGGCTGTGGCTAGAGAGAAGGTCTCCGGGGCTGATTTGCGAACGGCTTATCATACATGGATCGAAACCTGCTGAATTTGATAGTTTCTCAGTCCCTTCTAATCCTTAGCCACGAGTGCCTCTGCAGTTATTGGCATAGAACCACCATTGGCAGTTGTGGCCTTGTTCAGTCACTGCGTAGGGATGGAACAGGATAGAAGATTTAGACTGGACATGTCTTGCACTCTTGTGTTTACCGGCCAGTTCATGAGGATTTTCCGATCCAAGTTTCAATACACTTCCGAAGGAAAAGCCTTTGTCAACCATGTACCTGAAATCCTGCTAGTAGTGGTCACATAGCAAGTCAGCTACGACAAGTAGTTGTACCGTAGAGGAAGTCATACTCCTCTGTTCGACCGGTCTTTTCTCATTTTGAACTCGAAGAAAACCCCTGGAACGGGCATGAAGCTTATTAACACGTTGACGACAGGCTGACGCGCATGCGCGTCAGAACTGTCATTTATTTTTATAGTGCTTGCGCTCCTTCTTCACGAGTTTTTCGCATTCATTCTATAGATAATACATTGGCATAACTATAAACCACATGGCAGCCAGAGTGGTCAAATATCCCTTGATTTAGCAAACATTTTCTGAACGCCCAAAACTTTCATTTCGATTCTTTCCTAGTATTCCTTTCATTGTCGTAAACATTCACGTGAAAGAAGCAAGTGGAAGTGTAGAAGTGTAGAAGTGTAGAAGCAGTTAATAAAAAAGTCTGTGAGTTTTAAGATATTTGTATTTGATGGAAGAACTTAGGTAAAAATCTTTTAACTTCATTTGCAGCAAAAGTGATGTTTTTTTGCTTCTTCGTGGTCATTATACTTTCTTCTTAGCAAAAATCCACTGCCATTTATATAGCTAACCTTTATGCTTTCATCCTTGCCGGAATAATTCTATGATTTCCTATTTCTATTCGAGCTGCTGTGCATTTTAAACAAAAAATAGGCGGAAGTAAGGTGAGGGCGGCGCGCTCGCAAAATCGCTCCTGTCCCATGCGATACAAAATGCCAAAACACGCGATGTCGTCAACGTGTTAAGAAGTCGCTAAATAAAATTCTGGCAAGATCTCCAGAAAAAAGTTGCACGAACTTTCGCGACATTCCAATATATACTGATGTCATCATCAATATTATAGTTGCTTGGCGAACTCCTTTTGGATCGGCATAATTTCAACGTGATGACCAGGTATATTTCGAATCCTGAAAATCTCAAGCTGATGATGGAATTGCTGCGGGAGAAAAGTCGCAGCATCCAGTTCGAAGCGTTCCATGTGTTCAAAGTGAGTTCTGGTTCTTCCGTCCTTTGACCCCAACTATAATGTTACTTTTTTCAGGTTTTTGTGGCCAATCCCAACAAACCTCGGCCTATCGCCGATATTTTGCTGAGAAATCGGGAGAAACTGGTTAGTGACGCTAGCAATGCATGGTTTGGCGACAAGGTGTTTAGCATGGCTTAGATGTGTGTAGAACTGGATGGATCATCAAGAACAACCGAGCGTGCTAGTAGTTGTTTTGTCGTTACATGCATGGTGGGTTAGAAGGGCTACCCGCAGATCTGCCGAGAAATAGAAAATTCGTGGAATTAGTGGTTATTTCGATCTCGCCAATATCGTAGGAAATCTGCTTCCAGCGAGGCGTCAGTCCTCAGTAATTTGCTAACTGGAAGCATTTGTGTTAGGAGTTTCAGAAATAGGGTTTGTTTTCCGAAGGGAGGACATGCTGTTGCAGATATTTCTACTGCTGTTAGTTAAGGGAAATGTCGAAGCCTGTTACCTACTCAGGCTTTAAGGCAGCTAACGAACTAAGTAACTCGGCCGGGTTTGTGTGAGTTAGGGGGGGGATGCGGATACACTTTTTAGGGCTGCTGAAAACGTATCAAACCCCAAACATCTGATGGAGCTTCCGGGGAATTAACAAGATAAGACAACTCAGGCGGTTAGTGAAACAAAGCCAAAAGTCCGAATAACTGGCCGAAATGAAGCTCCTTGCAATCACGAGGCGGTCCAGTCACAGTTTTGGATTTAATTTCTTTTATTAAATGCTGGTTTTTTTTTACAGGTCCAGCAGTTTTCAAAAAGGCTGACACGTACAGTTTTCTTAGCCGCATGAGAGCTCTCTCAGACAAGTTACCGTTTTTGACGTGTTTTCTTGCGTTAGCAAGCAAATGTCCCCTGTCAGGCAAGACACAGACCCCGGAAGTAATAATCAGAAGTCAAAGTCAGATACCATAAAGATGAGTTTAGTGGAGGAAGGGTGAGACTGTGATAGATTTGAGATTCAGTTTCTCCTCGATTTTCTGGAGGATTGTCCTTGCCCATCGAGCCAGTAGTTAATGTTCGGAATGTAGGGAGTTGGTAACATAATTAAAATGTGCTCGGAGCAATAATGTCTGATTCTGTCTGAGTACGGTGGGACCTCAAAGTATTGAGATTCCAATGGTAACATTGCGAGACCCAGGACGTTTGCGCATCTGCAGACCTCATTATCTGGACTCTTGTTGTTTGAAGGCCGCAACTGAACTACTACAAAAGCAGGGTTGTTCTTGTAGGTGCATATTTTATAAGGGTTGCCCAGCTGCCAAACATCTTATTATGATTGCTCCTACCGTTCTATCGATGAATGTTAAGGTCGATTTTCTCGCGCAGTTCCATACGGAGCGTACCGATGACGAGCAGTTCAACGATGAGAAAGCGTATTTAATCAAGCAAATTCAAGAAATGAAAGCTTGAGTGCCTCAAGCGATGTCTCCGCTGGAATCGTTTTTGTATTACATGTAAGACTACTATTGTGTTTTATGCAATTTCTTATAACTAAAGCGAGTGTTTTTATACCTAAAGGAGGTTGTAAGCAACATTAAAGCCTCTAGTCCCATATACGTGATATTACTTTAGCTGAAGAAGGAATGACCCTAATTTTGATCCTTCCTCTACCGTTCCATTTCCCCGTATCCGTTTCTCTACTCGTTTATGCTGAGCTCGTCGTCGCTTTTGTGTGATTCAGTGTATCACATGGATCTACACTAAATGCGCGCCAATTCTTCTCTGTTTCAAATATAAATAGGGTCAGTTATGATTGAGAGAGGTAACGTAGATAGTATAGTATCGCGTCATCATCGAATTTATAGCACATTTGTGTTGATCTATACGGTTCATTATGAATATTTATGAGAAGTTGAAGAACAACATTCACACAACCAGCATGAACAACTCAGATCGAAACAGTGATTGAAGCAGCTCGTGGGCACGACAACGGCGGTCGACGGTCATCCAGAGCCGGAACCGAAGCGCGCGCGAGCGTGTCCATGCTTTTCTCCGGTATTCATCGACGCGACGATTCGGCAACAACGCTCGCACATGCTTCGCGTTCCTCCTCTGAATAAGGTCTGATCCGTCGTCTCGTTTGCTCACTTGCATTGGCATTGCTCGACGTTTCTTTCACAAACCAGGATCCAATAGCGATTCTTGCAATGGCAAGAGTTTATTAGCAAAAGAAGTGCAGCTAAGGCTCAATCAGCTTTGAGATGAATTTGGAACAAAAGGGACATGAGGGGACTCACCATACACGCGGATTCAAATATCACTACTTTCACAAAGATATATACGGAGAATAAAATGTAAAAGCATCAACAAGTATACAGCGCAAAAAAATAGAATTATAATTCACAATTGGTGAGCAACAATAATGATGACTGTCGATGCTTTAATGGTTAAAGTCACCAAAACCAGCACCGCCGCCGAAACCCTTTCCAGATAACTCCAACTGAGAGTCGATCATCTAGAAGTGCGATATCATTAACTTCTGTTATCATACAGCTTACTATGAGCGTCAAAAAGGTAACCTGCAAAAGTTCTTGCGGGGAAGGAACGCGACCGCTCTCAAGCTTGCTCCAAATTTGTTCCTTATCGAGATAGATTTCAAATGCTCCAGTTGACATCAGAGTGCTTTCAACCATGTTCGTCAATAAAAACAACATCATGCAAGCAGAGATCTGAATGGAAAGCACACTTAGAACACGCGGGGTCTACTTACATCTGACAGTTAATTAGTCTCTTCCACCTTTGAGCAGCTAACCATACGATAGACTTCAGTTTTCAAATGACTCCGCTGAAGGAAACGCTATGGATTCAAAGATTCGATTTTTCGGCACAAAAAGCAGATACAAATCGATTGAATTAGTTTCGCCTAGGAGCGCTTTCGATGATTACACGATTCAATTGTTCGTTGCGTATAGTACATTTCTTTAAGCGAAATCGCCGAATATGCCAGGGCTTTCATCATGAGTGCGGCTTGAACTCCTGTTCCAAGACATGTAGGAATTGCGATCTAAGTAACCCATGTGCCAGTCGCTGCACAAATTCAATACCTTGTGCTTTCTTGATGCCACGTGTGCTATTAAATTCCCGTTTACGACACGTCTGACCACAGTAGACTGAGTATACATTCACGTCGTTCACACCTCGAATTTGTGATATGGTTTATTTAACAAGGGAGGTCTTTCAAGACATGGAGCGCTTTTTCGGAGTGGTTTTCTGCATTTCTGAACGCCGCCAGCAGGAAAGTCAAAACAGTAGTGAAGAAATGGTCTGGAGTTCATTCCCAGTGATGGATAATTTTTGCAATATAGTTAGGTGCCTCCAGATTGCCGCCAAATGACGCTGTCAACGAGAATAGATGTCATTGTCGTGTTTTGCGGCAATTTGGAGGCGCCAACATAAATTGCAAAAATATGTCATCACGGAAGATCGAACTTTTTACCATTTCCTTCCCGCTGTTTTGACATTCCTGGGGACGTTCAGGAAAATGGACCATGATTGTGTGTTCCTCACATGAGTCTCTACAACATACAGGAAACCATTTTGGAAAATCGCACCAGTCCCCTCCTGAAAGACCTCGCTTGTAAGTTCATTCGTAATCTGCTCAATACATTGGCATCAATGTCAACCGACATTCGACTACCCCTTGCAGTTTTTATGGGTAGATTTTTATTCTTTTTCATCACTTATCAGTTTGTCAGCTCAATAATACTAATTTGCACTACTCAGTGCGTTTCATAATTATAAGGTCACCCTGAGATATTGCATTTCCGGACCCAGCAGCCAACTGGTGATTTTTCCAGTATCACCACATGATTCCCCACTATGAATAACCCCTGTATCGCAATTTTAGCGAGTGCGGCTTCTCTTCGAACTTTTTTATAATTATTTTCCGATTTTTTTTGCACTGTTTCATAATATTAGGTCACCACGAGGAAAAGAACAATTACCTAAGATTAGTGACAGTTAAATCGATGTAATAATGTATGGTTACTCCTGTATCAAGGGCAACATCGAGTAGCCTCTGTGGCCTACCAGAATTGAGATTCCGAGACAGATCACCATCTTCACTTCCGTGTTCAAGGGTTGCTTCTATACGCTCTTGAGCAGTTTTTGACTGGCGTTTATCCGCACTATTCTTCATGGCGAAGATGACACTGAGATGTTCTACCAGAATAGGACAAGAACTTCAGAATAATTTGTTCAGTTCATCTGGGTTTCGAGAGAAATGCTGCTTCTGGTTGAATGACCTACATGAGTACCTGTACTGTTCTGTACGGCTATGTAGGCTAGCCGACTTCATGAGCTCAGGGGAAAGGTCGGATGTCCTCGCAAGGCTCTATGCAATCTTTGGAATCCATTATGCAGTTTATGGAAGCGAAATTTCGACACAACATCAATACAAAAAGCACCCAAACCTTTCACATTTCCTTGACTGAAATTGCAAGCGCTGAAGTGAATCGGCCACCTTCGCAAGTCACTTCGAAAGTGTTCATATCCGTAGGATCGGTGATGCCAGATTCATGCATTTCTTGGTGCTCGGCCCGGTTCATGAGCCACTGTGAAGCAGTTCGAGAAATCCCCTGCTTCTTTCAGAGATATTGAAGAGTTCCGGAGTCTTCAAATATTCTACTGTTTTGAACACCAACGAACACGTTACTATCAACGATTAAAGCAGAGCCATGAAAGCTGTTCCAAACAGTAGTTCCCCTTGGAACTAGATTCGCTAATAATAAAGTGCTACTGTGTCGAATACAAGAAAGTAACTTCAGCACTGGGTGACAGGGTCACCATAACCAATTTGGCGCGTCATATGAAATGTATACTCATCTTACGCGCACGCTGGACACTGAATTTGACGCTCAAAGATGGCGTGTCCTTCACTATATGCCCGACATTTGGAAGAGTTCATGTCAATACGAGTTATTATTGTGATGAGCTGATCCTTGATCGTGGATGTTTAACGGCTATAACAGATTTGTATAACTTGTCATGTAATCATGTCTCATTCAGGGACAAAGAAGGATGGAGCTTATCATGCGACAATAAAACGATTCAATATTTTGATTCATTAAGTAACCTATCACCAAGATGACAGCGAGTGTTGAAGGTGGCGGCCAATATAGCGCGATTCGCGATATAGAGCAATTTCGTAAGGGATGCTGTTATAGTATAATAGTACGTTATATAGTACAATCACAGTTATATACAGTTATATAGTACAAAAGACCATCATTGCTGCTTTCTGATATCGTAGCTGAATATAGTACGTTCGCTTTCGTGATAGCACTGCAGCATGATGCGTATTTCATCCATGGGTCATGAACATTTGCGCAGCATTAAACACCTCCGTGTTACGTACCCTGTTCTAATTCTCACACCCTTACACAATTTGGGGACACATCTGTCTATTTTGGCAGGCAAATGGTGACATTGTGCGTAACACGTCTTACAAGGAAGGTCGTTCAGGGCAAGCCAAGCAATTTTTTAAAACGGTCCTTTGCATGATATAGGGGTATAACAGAACCATGGTTAATTTTTCCTGAACGGCTCTCTGAATACCAGTAAAGGGGGTCCCTAGTCGCACCTTTTCACCACTTTTTCAATCAAAGTCTATTTGTAAGGGTTAATAACGGTCTTAACCATGAATATGGTACCAATTATTCACGCTGACTCCATTTTATGCGAATCTTGAAACGTCAACTCGAAATGCAAAAATTTGTCACCACGAGGAATCGAACTAAGGACCCCTTTTCTGGTATTCAGAGGGCCGTTCCGGAAAAATGAACCATGCCTCTGTGCTCCCCATATGTGCCCCAATGTCATGCAAGAAACCATTCTGAAAAGGCTTGGCACACCCTGAACGACCTCCCTTGTTAGAGGTAGTAGACTCAAAAGCATGTAAAAGGAGACAGGTTCTGGATGTGACACAGCTGTTTGTGACACCGCTCAAAGCCGGGAGGTCGACACCGAGGCGATGTCCACTGCGACATTGTGACGTAATAGCGTTCAAGGGAAATGGTCAATAGGGAGGCGTTGTGATCAGAGTCAACCCTGCGTTGCGCAGTTCGCAACGGCAGGTCGAGAGATCCTCAACGCACGCTGTATGGGCGGAGAAACAGACGGCTCGAGCATGCGAGTGTGAATGTTCGCGCGAGAGAACGTGTCTAATCGGGCGAAACTGCGCAACGTGGCCGTTGAGAACTGCGCAACGCAGGGTTGACTCTGGTTGTGATTCAACGTTTTGTAGTGTTTTCTAAGACTCTTGCACCTGCTTTCTTCCCTTCCTTCAAAGGGCTTAGTCCCAGAAATGTGCTTTTTGACGGCGCTCACACACATTAGTTGACCTGTACTCACACACGTTGGTTGACTACTGCCCCGTAACCACGTAATAGAAGCAGCCAAAGGACCTCCAGCATGCAGCGGCAAAGCCTATCTCATGGGACTGCTAAGATCTCGTGCCGTAGCATAAATAGCAATAGTAAACTGAAGTCACAGTCTACACTTGCAACATGTAAATTGCTTGTACTATGGTGATATACTTCGAATGAAACTGAAATCTGGATGATAAACAATCTAACCTGGATGATAAATAATCTAACTACGGCGATTGTGAACTCGTGCGGAACCCATCTGTTATGAAAAATTCTGACAACTTTGTTCTCCGTGCGCCAGATTATAAAACTGAGCATTGAGCAAGAGGCTTTCGTAAAAAGCTTCCTGATTCACAACACCAGCAACGCTCTACACTCTCGGCTTTATGTTCCCTGCCTTTTGCTAGGCTTAGCAGCGAAATCAGATTTCTTCCAGTTATCATTATCTTTTCAATGAAACATCGTGTGTGGTAGTATTTCTGTGTTGCTGTCGCAGCAGCAGCACACTGTGCTCCATTCGAATCTGCGCGCAGGAGGGACGTGAACTGGTACGGTACGGTAGCTCGAACCTAGTGCTGAGGATACATTCTTGTGGCAATCGCACCATACAACCAGATAATATCGTTAGGTTCATATTTTTAGCTGAAAAAAAGGTAATACAGAGAACCTCTTTGGTTATTAAAACTGGCCACGACTTGCGAAAGTGACCGATTTACTTCAGTGCTCGCAATTTTGGTGAGGAGACGTAAAGGTGTGGGTACTTTCTACGATGAAGTTGTGTCGGAACTTTTCTCCTTGGCTTGCATGATGGACTCCAAGGACTACCATGAAACCTTGCGAGGACAATTGATATTTTTCTCAAGCCGGCGACGCCGTCTCAACTACGTATTCTTTGAAACAATGTTGGTACCCATTAGGTGACTACGAAAGAGTGGTAGCAGTACCAAGGTCCAGATGTGAACAGGTTACTCTACCATCTTCGTCCCATTTTCAAAGAAAACCTCTAGGCAGGGTCAACCCTACGTTGTTACTAGTAACAACGGGGGTCGTACCTGGTTGAGTTTGTAGGAGGGGGGTCGTATAGGTTTGGAGTTGGGAGCGCGCTGGAGAAAAATTCGCCGTTTCAGTGCGTAATAGGGCCGACCCTGCCTCTAGGACACCTCTGTCAAAAAGCTTCATGCGATCAGCCACCAGTGATGAACAACAAAGGAGCTACAAGCAATCCTCAAAGCACGGAAATTAATCGACGGTCAACTTCTCGGAATCTCAATTTCAGGGGTGTCCCCCAG